GGACAAGAAGGGGATTTGGAACTTCCAGTAAAAACTGAACAAGGGCAGATTCTGCCTGACCAACCTGAATACCGTTTACAATGACATGATGGGCCCTTTGGATGAGGAGAGAGGTGGATGTAGTAGCCCTCAGTGAAAAGAGCTGCCTGGGACTGATAAGAGAGAGAAATAACCAGCACCAGAAAGACCTAATCAAAAACTGAGGAAAAAACCCAGAGAGGGATGGCAGCCTCCCCAGTGTCCTCACTACTTGAGCTGGTCCAAAGGGCATCAGGAAACAGAGGCCAGGCACTCTGTCTGTGCTGCATTCATGCTGCAAGTGACCCTCAGCCCTGGCTGCCTTTGTCCCGCCTCTGCCTCCCCACCAGCCCTGCTGCCCAGGACAGCAGGAGACCCCCTTCCCTGGGGCACCTCGGGCAGCTTCCACATTTCTCCAGTCTCCTTTCCCCATGCCTGCTGCATTTTCATGCATGTTACGGTCCTTATCATGTGTGATCAGTGCCAGTAAATGCCTCGTGGAGTCGATGTCATCAGGACTGGGTCATGGTCAGACAATCTGTGCTCCGTTTCACACATACCCCACATGGACATTTTTCTCTGACCTAATCTCCAGCACTTCCACAAACATAAATAATTGCCATTTCTTAGGACAGGAATCACCCTGTTTTCAGAGAAACAATTTAAAACCCAAAGTGAAACATACTCATTCACAGAGAGGTCCAAAATATCTGGGTGTGACATTTAACAAGTGGGTCAATCAGAGGAGCCTCCCAGGGTGACCTTGCTGACTGAGGGTGGGGGTTTCTGCCTCTGGGGGTCTGAGACTCCTTATGGGATGATGGAGAGAGCACTGGGGATTGTACCAGGCTTGCTGTGGCATGCCTAGTGAAAAACCAAAGGCAGGGAAAGAGAAGGACCAAGGTGGTTTGGGAAGAAAGAAGCAGGGGGAAAAGGGGATGAAAGGAGCTGGTCATATGTGGCTGGTCAGCATAATTGTTTATGCACACCATGAAACTGAAAGTCTATCCTGTCTTCTTATGAAATTCCATCCACCACAACTTTCTGGGGTGAGGAGGTGTCTGCTCTTGGTACGGATAGAGGTCCAAGGGCCCATCCCTGGAGTGGGAAGCATGAGACAAAGGGGCTCAGGCACCTTCAGGGCCAGCAACTGGAGAGATCAAGCTGTGTGCATGTGTCATGTTGGTGGGTATGTCAGTGGGTGGAACCACTAGTGTACATCAAACCAGATTAACCAGCAAGTAGGCGAGTCCTGGGAGCCAGGTATTTAGAGACCCTATGTCTGGACTAGACCCTGGTGAGCCCAGAGGATCTGTGAGCTGGTTGCTTGAGGGAGAAAGTGGCCCAAAGCACCACCTGGAGAAAATGTGGGGTCTTGCAGTCAGGTATTGATAAGGCCACAGGTCTGGACCTGGAGGGGAGGTTGTCCTTGGTGTGAGAGAGCAGCAGGAATGCATGGAGCTCTGCCTGGGGACTAACAGTGAGTTAGCTGCGAGCTGGTAGGCCAGGATCAGAGAGCAGAACAACATGGGCAGCACTGTGGGAGGATGGGTGGATTTCTGCTCCAGACCTCTTGATCAGGTAGATGAGGCCTTCTTCAGACAACTGGAAGGAGCTTCATGCCTGCAGGCCCTGGATCTCATGGCAGACTGAAACTGTCCCAGCTGCCTCTGCTGAAGGGGTGCAAGCCACCCGGGAGGATTTTGGAGCTCACTGGTGACATCTTCCTGACAAGGGTGACTGAGGAGCCAGTGAGGTGAGGTGCCCTGCAGCAGGACTTGATACTTGCAAACAAGAAAGAGCTGCTCAGGGCTGTAACAATCAAGGGTGAGAAAGTAGAGTGTGGGATGCTGAGAGAAGGGAAGAAATCAAGGGACAGGATGTCAGGAGAGCAGGCTTTGACCTGCTGAAGGACCTGCTTGGAAGAATCCCATGGGATACAGCCCTGAAGAGTAAAGGGTGCAGAGAGCTGTTTGATGGTTAATGATCTCCTCTGCACTCCAGAACAGTCCACACAGACATGCTGGAAGTCAAGGAAAGGTGGCAGGAGACTGGCATGGATGAGAAGGAAGCTCCTGACAGAAACCAAGCATGAAGATGAAGTACAGAGGAGGTGGAAGCTGACTGCATTCCAGGCTCAGCAGTTCTGTGATGCTGTGCTAGAGAGAGACATTTGTGTGTGCGTGTGCTTGTCTGTGCGTGGAAGAACTGGAGGGATGAGGGAATCCTGGATCCAGGTCCCAGACAGCTGGAGGACCTAAAACCAGCTTCTGGAGAGATCCTTATTGTTTCAGTCTCTATACAACTGCAACTCCTCAGGGTGTTATTAGGTGTGAGACACCACCACCATCAAGGTGAGCTATCTGCACAGAGGCACTAACAGCTGGCCAAATGGAGCTTCAGCCCAGGGAAACCTGAGAAACTCTGGGATTCCGGCCAACAGAAACCTCTTGAAGTTTACAAGGAGGAGTGGCCAGTCCTGCATTAGGAGGAAGAATAATCTCCTCATTTCTCAGGGCAGGCTTGGACCTGAGTAGCTGAGCAGGGACCCTGAGGAGAAGGGCTTGGGCACTACGAGGACACCATACAAGACAGCGGTACATGCTGGCCACAAACAAGGCCACCTGCATACAGGTCTGCACTAGGATGAGCATGGCCACCCAGACTATCCTGACGTGCGTTGAAGTGTGATTTCAGAGATGGTGGAGGTTTTTCCCTACATCGAGAAACAACAGGAGAAAGGAAGAATGGCACAAAATGAAGCTTTGGAAGTTGAGACTGGACATGAAGATTTTGTGTTACATTGAGTTACATCAAGAGTCTTTCCAAGTGCAGTACAGTAGGCCACCCAGAAAGAGTCTGGATTAGCTAAAGCTCTGCATTCCAACCAACAGCCCGTGAGGATGGAGAGATATCAGCATGGGTAGGAAGATGGTCAAGTGAGAGCAAGGCTGGTAAGCATGGTGGATGTCCAGAGCCTTCCAGAAAACAAGTGCAGGCGTAGGCCACCATAGGAGAGCCTGTGGTGGACATGGCCAAGGGAGCTGTCAAGGTTGAAAGCCCCCAGCAGGGCTGAGCTCTTTCTCCTGTTGGCTCTGGCTGTTGGCTGTGTCACCAAGGCCTACCAGGAGACACCTAATCCTTACAGCACTGGGGCCTCATGGCCCCCTTGTCTCCACCCAAGAGCCTGGCAGGTGTCCAACCATAGTCCTGCCCTTGGCATTGCATATCCCCTCAAAACACTGCCCCGGGAAGAGCCCTGAGCCGTGGGTGTAGGACAGCATCTCCTTTCCCAGGGGCTGGGGCCAGGGCTGCCCTTTGGCTTGATAAAATGCATCCAGGCTTACTCAGCATCAGAGCCACCTTTACATTGCCTCTGCCTCCAGTTTTCTGCTCTAACCAGCCCCCAGGGTTGCTCTGGCAGTAATGTCCCTCTGGGGGACCCATTAATGCTCCAAGAAACTTCTGCATTTACATCTGACTTTGCCTTCTTGAGAGGTTTCATCAGCTTTCTCTCAGGGTCATGGACTGGGCACCAAGCCCACCTGAGGGATCATTAAAATGCCTTGGACTGGTCCTCTGCTGCTGAGCTGGTCCCCGCTGCTGGGACAGAGGGAGATGATAGCAAGCGGGCAGCGCTGCAGAGAGACAGCTCTGCCCAGGAGCAGCTCCTCTGCAAAGCACAGCAGGATGAAGGGCACTCCCAGGGTATCTCAGGGAGATGAGCGAGGGAGATTAAGAGTTTAAAGGTGGTCAGGATTGGGAGGATGACTGAGAGTTCAAAGGAGGAGAAATCTTTGCAGCCCTTGACATGGTAAGTCTCTTGGTGCAGGGTGATGTGTCTGTAGCTCCTGGAGGCATCTCCTAAAGCTGGCATAGCCCACAGCTTATGGGATCTGCAAGGAGGGTTTTTTTTTTAGGTAATTTTGAATAGCTGTGAAGCCACAGTGTGCAGGCAGGAGTGCCCAGGGCTGTCCTTCCCAGCAGGGTCCCTGCACCCCAGGGGCTGTGTGCTGGGACAGGGACTCTGCCGCCTGCCAGGGTCAGCACTCAGCCTGCCCGGGGAGCTCCCCACGGCGCTGTGGGGAGAAGCTGTGGGGGGAAGGAGCAAGCCACTGTAGGGCAGAGCAGGGTCGTTCTGCTGTCGAGAGGGTGCTGCATGGGACAGGGCTGATCACAGTTCCAGATCACCCCTGGGACATTTCACAGGGCACTTCTCAAGAAGGACATCAAGGCGGGGGCTATCTGGCAGTAAAGGTGCTTCCCAGGATTGGTGCTTTCACTCCCGGGCTGTGATGGTAGGTGGAAATGGTCATAGAGCTAGAGATTTTGCAGATCTGCCTCTACAGATTGGAGAAACAAGACTTCCTTGCTTTCAGCAGAGTCCAGTTGCTTTTCTTTTGGAGAGTAATTTGTGTGTGCAGTCATCCATGAGGTAACAGAAGTAAAAACACGGGGCAGCTGGGACAAAATGTGATGGACACTGCAGCTCTTCTGACTCTGCACTGAGCCACAGATTGCTGAGCCCTTTTGCCCGTCTTAATACTCCACACTTTCAGGCACAAAAGTTATTTCTACCCCTGAAAATAGTATTCACCATATGTGATGGTGGAAAATAAAAGACACAGAGAATATTATGATAAAGACCTGCTAAACCTCTCTTCTGCTGCCCGCATTCTTGGGAGTCATGAGTGTAAACACTGAACATCTCCTTTAAGAGTGAATTGCATCTGACGTCCCTTGTGAACACTGGAGGAGACAAGAACCAAATCCCATGTCCTCATGGCAGCAGGGCAGAGCTGGCTCCTTGGCAGCACATGGGACAGAGGTCCTGCTCCTCAGAGCAAACAAAGGAAATGTGTTGGAATTGGGAGTTGGGGGGAGGGATTTCGAAGAGAAATGCCCTGGCTTTGCTTGCAGTCTGTCACAATTGTCCCATCTTTTCCTTCTTAGACCAGTGCCCCCATGTCAAGAACCAGCTGATGTCCAACAGCAGCTCCATCACCCAGTTCCTCCTCCTGGCATTTGCAGACACGCGGGAGCTGCAGCTCCTGCACTTCTGGCTCTTCCTGGGCATCTACCTGGCTGCCCTCCTGGGCAACGGCCTCATCATCACCGCCATCGCCTGCGACCACCACCTCCACACCCCCATGTACTTCTTCCTCCTCAACCTCTCCCTCCTCGACCTGGGCTTCATTTCTACCACTCTCCCCAATTCCATGGCCAACTTGCTCTGGGACACGAGGGCCATCTCCTACCAAGGGTGTGCTGCCCAGGTCTTTTTCTTTTTTGGTCTGATGTCAGCAGAGTTTTATCTCCTCACCATCATGGCCTATGACCGCTACGTTGCCATCTGCCAACCCCTGCACTACGGGACCCTCCTGGGCAGCAGAGATTGTGTCCACATGGCAGCAGCTGCCTGGGGTGGTGGGATCCTCACTGCTGTGCTGCACACAGCCAACACATTTTCAATACCTTTCTGCAAGGGCAATGCCCTGGACCAGTTCTTCTGTGAAGTTCCCCAGATCCTCAAGCTCTCTTGCTCAGGCATGTACCTCAGGGAGGCCGGGCTTATTGTGATTAGTGTCTGTGTAGCATTGGGGTGTTTTGTTTTCATTGTGCTGTCCTATGTGCAGATCTTCAGGGCCGTGCTGAGGATCCCCTCTGAGCAGGGACGGCACAAAGCCTTCTCCACATCCCTCCCTCACCTGGCTGTGGTCTCTCTGCTTGTCAGTACTGGCTTGTTTGCCTACCTGAAGCCCCCCTCCATCTCCTCCCCAACCCTGGACCTGGTGGTGGCTGTTCTGTACTCAGTGGTGCCTCCTGCAATGAACCCCCTCATCTACAGCATGAGGAACCAGCAGCTCAAGGATGCAGTTCGGAAGCTGATGACTAGATTTTTTTTTAGAAGCAATATACTGCCCATCTTCTTCTCCTTATCACTCATAACAGAACTCATTACAGGACCAACCTGTCTTCTATATATTTTGTAGTTGTTGATTTTATTTATTTTTTTTTTCCTGATAAATTTGTCCATAAAGAATTTTCATTACTCATACCATTTTGAAATATTTGTACTCCTCTTTTTTTTTTTGACCCTGAGACAGTGTAAATGAATTTCCACACCCTCTGCATTTAAACACTAAAAAGGACCCTGCAGTAACATTTTTGCCTAAGGCTTTTCCTCTGAGACCTTGTCTGGAGCTGCAGAGGCAGCTCCTGTGTACAGAGCCTCTGCACAGTAGATTTGTGACCGAGCTGCCCTCTGCAACACCATCTCCGTCATGAAAGGGGATCTCCTCAGGGCAGTGCCCAAATGATTTTAAGTCTTATTCCAAAGAAATAAAATGAAACTCTAGTCACGGGGTGAATAATGTGGAGTCTGGAGGTGATGAGGCTGCCCAAACAGCACAGGGGGCAGTGGGGAGGGAGCCCTGTGAAGGCAGGATGGCTCTGCCCTGGGGCAGCTCATAAAGTTTCAAGGGCCATGTGTCCGCTGAATGACCTTTGCTTCATTATCCACTAAATGCATATTAAAGTTGTCACCCCTGAATATACTAACAAAGATTAACAAGATCATGCTAATTACATCATCTCATAAAGCACCTTACTCTTCCCCATACGTAGGTATGTGGGTTGGCCTAGGGGACGGACCCAAGGAAAGTGTGTGTAAACTGGGGCGGGGGGGACGAGAAGCAAACAAGTGAGCAAGCGATAGAAAGAAGTGAAGGAGACAGATGCATCCCCGAGGAACTCGGGAGGGACCAACACAGGACCACAGACCAGTGGCCTCTATTTATTTTCTCTCTCTCTTGTTTTCTTTTTCCCTTTTTCACTTATTACCATTAAGTAATGTGAAGCATACTAGATCACTTGCCATAATTCGTTATATACTTAGCCAGTTATTGGGTATCAAATTAGTACAATGTGGGGAAATTAATAAATATTTGTGTGTGGACTTTGAGACTTGTCTCACCGTTGTCTACCCCACTGGGGATTTGCGAATTGATGTCACTTGTCTCTCTTGTCCGAGTGGGACGTGACAATAACCAACTGTGTGAACTATGATGGAAGAAGCTAAAAAGAAAGAATGGGTAGTATTTCAGGAGCCGTTGTTGAAAGACAAACAAAATGAATTATATGAACCAGATTTGGTATTTGTTAAAGAGGAAAAAGCCTTGGTGGTAAATGTCACAATTAGGCATGAAAGTAAATCAACATCTTTGGTGGAAGCAGCAACAAAGTAAAGAAACATCAGCACCTCAAAGATGAAATTCAAGAATTGAAAAATGCTACTGTTATTAAATTCATAGCATTTCCTCTGGGTGCATGTGGCAAATGGTATCAGGGCAATTATGAATTGTTGGCAGAATTGGGATTGAATGGGGATGGTCATGGGCTTTATTCTGTATTTGAGGATGTTCCTGAGGAGGGACATCTCATGGGGTCTTCAAGGACTTGAGGACACCCTCTGGGGTTCTTGTGTCCCAGTGATGCCCCAAAGGATGCCTTTCCCTTGATGACATCTTCACAGAGATCTTGTCTCCCTCTGGGAAGTCTCTGGGTCTCCTTCTTCTCCAGGGGATCTCCCCAGGGAGTCTCTCATGACTGGGTGTCATCTCTAGTCCCATTCCCCTCCTCCCTGGGGCCATCTCCAAGGGTCCCATCTCACTTGGGGGTGACCCTATGTCTCTTGGGGACATCTCCAGTGGTGGCATTGCCCTCATCATCATCGTCCCAAGGGACTCCCTCATCCCCCTGCTCTCTGAAGATGCAGAAGAGTCGTGCATGACCCCGCACGTTGTTGTCAACCATGGCCATCACTTGTTGACATGAGCGTTATTTTTCAATATATATTGCCTAGCGTGGCTGGGGCAGCTGCTGGGGAATGCGGGGTGGCTGGGAGAACACTTTGGGGCACAGGCAGTGCCTGAGGGAAATCTCCTGAGGGGGCTTCCACAAGCCCGGGGCCATTCAGCCGCGGCTGCAGATCTGGCCCCCAACTCCGGCGGGCAGAGTCGGAGCCTGGAGCGTCTCTCCTCACCCCAGCCGTGCTCACGCTTCTCCTTATCATGGGCAGAGTCGTGGTTGCTCAAGTCGTGCTGTGCTTCTCCCTGCCAGGGGTTCAGCCAGCTGTGAGAGCTCTCCATCAGCCTCTTCAGAGACCTGATTAAGACCGTGGTGGGCAAAACCAAGAAAGAGATGAGGAAGAAAGCGTGGATGGGCCTGCTCCCGCTCTTCTTTCGCATGAGTGACCAGGGCCAGCTCATGGCCAAGGTACAGATTTCAAAGCTCAGCACTGGTGCGGGGAAGGCACCCTCAGCTGTTTGGGCCAGGGCCCGTCACAGCTTCCCAAAGGTGGGATCACCCCAGGAACAAAGCCAAAGCTGTTTGGTTGGAAAAGGGATGAGAAGTCAAAAACCTTCCTGGGAATGGGGAAGGGTATTAGAGGGGTGAAGGGAGACTCGCAGGCTGAGATAAGAACAGTTTAATAATGGCAATAAAATGAAAACAATAACGATGATGGGGGGAAAACAAAAAGAAATACATAAACAGGCAATGTACAGCGTAATTGCTCACCACCCGCTAACTAATATCCAGCCCGTTCCCGGCCAGCGACTCCGAGATACCAAGATCCCACAATCGCAAACCCGGAAGCGAGAGCGCTCCTTCCCAACCACCCCTCCTTTATATAGTGAGCATGACATTCCATGATATGGAATATTTCACTGGCCAGTTTGGGTCAGGTGCTCTGTCTGTTCTCCCTCCCTGCTCCCTGTGCCCTTGTGCACGGGCAGGACATGGGGAGTTGGAGAGTCCTTGAAGTCTCAGCAGCAGCTGAAAACATCAGTGTGCTATCAGCATTTTTCCCATACCAAACCCAAAGCTAAATCCAAAACACAGCACTCATCTAGCCCCTGAAAAGGAATATTAACTCTATTTCAGCCCAAACTAAGACACGTGCCCACCACCCCTCTCGGGAACAGACGGGACAGCTCCAGAAACAGAAGACCAGTGCAAGAGGATCCCCATCACCTGGTCACATTGGGAGAATTCTAGCTCCATGAAATGATTATTGAAAATGAAACACAGAGAACAGCATCCGCCATCAGAACGCTTTCAGTGGTAGTTTTAGCTGCTGCAGAGCTGCAGGTTGATGACCTTCCCATCACTCTCACAGGACCCCAAGAGAAATAATACCTGGCAAACAGTAACTCTGCCCAGAGCCCATACCTCTCTACCTTTTAAAGGTCGAGGAGCTCAACCTACAGCTCTGGAGGTATAAACCAGCCTATACTTACACCCTGTGTCTACCTACACAGTGATCTCTCCAGAAAGCCAAATCATGATTACCTTTGAAAGAGGATGGAATTGGGCAGGGGGGAAAGGGGAAGAAAGATACAAACTCCTGCAGAGCAAGGGAAAGCGTAGGCACACCATGAAAAAAGAGAGGAGCGGAGTTATCCCGAAGGCCAGCTCAGCCCAACTCACTTTCACTGGCGAAAAGCTGCGTGGCTCAGAGGAAAAATATCTGACTTTGGATGCTGGGATGCTCACAAATGTCTGAGTTCATATCTGAAACAGCAGAAAAACCTTGACACGGCTCCTTTTCCCTGTCCTCATACCTGCGTGCATGCTGTGCCTTCCTCATTTTCCTCAAGTCCTCCCAGACTAACAGGGAAGGAGCTTCTGTCCAGTCCCTGTGCCAGGAAGCAAAACAGTTTCAACCACTAAGGGGGCAGCAAATAACCGCCCCTGCAGAATCCAAGGGGCAGATGCACCTCGGCCTCGGATGTGCCCGGAGCTGCCCTGAGCCCCACGAGCCCCTGGCACCCCGGCGTTTCCTTGGCCCCGAAGCCCGGCAGGGACGGCCAGCTCTGGGGAGCCCCAGGGACAGACACCAAGGACAGTGGTCAGTCCCCGTGGGGAGAGTGACGGGGCTCCGTCATTCCTTCTGGCCCCAGGAGGAGGCCTGATTGGGTTTTAATTTCAAACATGAAATGCGTCACTTTTTTTCACATTTGGGAGTGAAAGCAAAGGGCTAAAATCAGCTTCCCCTGGGGTGACCTGATAGAGAAACCCCGCAGACACAACAAGCCCTTACGGACAGTAAAAAAACGTCAAATCCCAGGGAAAAGGACAAGCGCAGTCACACACCAGCACATCTGCACAGCCCCAACTGGGACAACCAACCTGTTGGGGTTCTTTGAAATTGCAGCGGTGTAAAAGTTCAGGTTTTTAGCCCAAAGCTTCCCCCTCCTTGGCGCTCCCGCCCCCCCACTGCGGGGTCCCGGGGAGAGCGGGGGGGCGAGTGGCCGTGACACAGTTTGGGGGCTGCTGGAGGGAAAAGCGGGGCCGGGGAATTCTGCAGGAGTTCGAGGTCAGGGGTACTGAGATCCACACGGACATGGCTGCAACAAAAATAGTCAGAAGTCTCTTCAGGGAGGGAGAATGTGGCGTAAATACACTGAGATGACTGACAGACGAAATACTTGATAGAGGACGTGGAAACCAAAATTCTCAAAGATCTGCAGGAAGAAAATTCAGTCAGCCATACAGAACAAAGTGAGTGTTTTAAAAGGAGTAATTTGCACTTTTCTGGGTTAGCCAAATCTCTGCATACAAACATCACTTCTTCAGAAATACATTACTAAATAGTAGGTTATTCTCCCAGACAAACAGTTTACATTTACATCCTGACAGGCAAAGAACAACCTTCAGCATCGGAAAGAACATGGATTAGGTTGAAAAGTCTCTCTCCAACCTTGCTGCTAGGATCATGGCTTTCATATTTAAAGCACCTAAACCACTGCTTTTGAGAAAGTGCCCAACTGGGCTGCTGAAAACAACCTAAACCAATGGCCTGGAAAATTCAAATCTATGAAAGTTGATTTCTTCTTTGTTTTAATCCATTTCCTCTCAAAGCCATTTAAACAAACTTTCCAATCCTAATTTATTGCTGAAGATGTCGCAGCAGTATTACAAAAAAGCT